ATGATTGCAGGTATGTTTATTTCTTTTAACTAAACATAAAATTCTGCCTATAAGTGTGAGGTTAGATATGTGATAAGTCAATGTCTAATTTAGTTGAAACAATTACTTATTAAACTAATTTTTAAAAAATGGTATCAGGCTGATCACTTAGCAAGGTAATTTATTATTATTATTATAATTTCATTTTCTTTTATACATTAAGTCACATTATTTATCTTACAAAGTGAATATTTCAACATATAAAAATTTCTCCCTAGCCCAGTTGATAAAACTAAAAATTATCTTCAACAGATAATACCACAGATCAAAACAACAATGAGATACCACCTAACCCCAGTCAGAATGACTAAGATTAAAAAAAAAAAAAGGGGTAACTGCTGGCAGGGGTGTGGTGAAAGGGGAACTCTCTTACACTGCTGATGGAAATGTAGATTGGTCCAGCCACTGTGGAGAACAATTTGGAGATTCCTCAAAAATCTACAAATAGAACTACCATGTGATCCAGCAATACCATTCCTTGGTATCTACCCAAAGGACAGAAGAATTCTTAACCAGAAAAGTGCTTGCAGCACTTTTCACGATTGCTAAGACATGGAACCAACCCAAATGCCCCCGTACGGATGAATGGATTGAAAAACTGGGGTATATATTCTGTAGGAAATACTCCCCAGCCATAAAAAAGAACAAAACCCTGGCTTTTGACAAAAAATGGAAGAATATGAAAGATTTACTGCTGAGTGAAGCAAGCCAGGCTATGAAGGAGAGACACTGTATGTCCCCACTTAATATATACCAACTATCCACACTCTATGATTGAAACTGATTGACTAAAGTACAAAGAAACACAGTAAGTGGATGGGAATACCAACTATAGTGTGATTGAAAGAGTAGAGTCTAAGTAAGGACATTTAGAAGAAAATTAGAGAGGCAAAGCATTAATGGGACAAAGAAATGTGGTATTATCTGTTGAAGATACTTTTATATTTTTTAGATCAATAACAAATGATAAGATTTATAATCAGTAATAAATAGTCTCCCAATAACAACAGTGACAAAGCCCAGGTCCTGATGCCTCACTTCCAAATTCTACAGAACGTTTTTGTTGTTGTTAAATTTTATTTATTTATTTATTTACTTTTTTTTAATACATTCAATCACATTATTTAGCTTACAAAGTGAGCAGTTCAATATGTGAACATTTCTCCCCAGTCCAGTGGAAAAACTGTGGCACATATACTCTGTGGAATACTATTCAGCCATAAAAAACAACAAAACCCTGGCTTTTGACAGAAAGTGGAAGAATATAGATTTACTGCTGAGTGGAGCAAGCCAGACTATAAAGGAGATACTTTTATATTTTTAACAACTGGACTAGGGAGAAATGTTCACATGTTGAAATATTCACTTTTTAAGCTAAATAACATGATTGAATGTATAAAAGAAAATGAAATTTTAAAAAAATTTTTAAATAAATAAATGATACCATAAATCAAATGGATTTGACAGACATTTATAGAACATTTCACCCAAAAAACAAAAAATACACATTTTTCACACCCCCACATGGAACATTTTCAATTATCAACTACATGATAGGACAAAAAACAAGTCTTCACAAATTTAAAGCTATAAAAACTTATATATAGCATCTTTTCTGACCACAATGGAGTCAAACTTGAAGTCAACTACAGGAAGAACCCTTGAAAATACACGAACAAATGAGAACTAAACAACCACTCCTAAATGACCTTACAACAATGGACAAAATTAAGACTGAAGTTAAAATCAGTGAAATCAGTGGTAATGAACAAATGAGTGTTTATAATGTATGGGACACAAAAAAAAGCAGTCTTACAAGAGAAGTTCACAGCAATTAGTGTCCACAACAAAAAAAAAAAAAAAAAAAAAAAAAAAAAGAAAGGAAAAAAAAGAAAGGTAACTAATAGACAACCTAATGGCACATCTCAGGAAACTGGAAAAGCAATAACAAAATAAATAAATAAGTAAATAAATAAATAAATAAACAAACAAACAAACAAACAAACAAATACCAGGAAAAATAAATATTAACAATTCAAGCAGAAATACATGAAATAGAGAATAAAAGAACTATACAGGAAATAAATAAACCTAAAAGCTGTTTTCTTGGGAAAATAAACAAAATTGATGCGCCATTAGCTAGATTAACCAAGTAGAACATATTAAGGAACCAGATAATTCAAATAAACAGCAAAACAGGTGATATTATAATAGAAATATGGCAAATCACGAGTGAATAGTAAGAGTGATTATACACAAAGAAATAAGAAACCTGGATGAGATCAATAGATTTTTGGACACATATAATTTACCAAGATTGAATCAGTAATAAAAAAAAGACAAGCCAAGCCCCAATGGCTTGCTTCACTTCTGAATTCTACAAAACTTTTAGTAAAGATTCTCCTCGAATTTCTAGCAAAATTCAAAAGGAAGAAACCCTCACCAATGCTTCTATAAAAACCTCCATCGGCCTTATCCCCAAAACAAGGATGTAAAAAAGAAAGAAAGAAAAAAAAAAGACTGCATACCTATATACTATGATGAATACAGATGAAAAATTCTCAACAAGATACTAGCAAACAGTATCCAATGATACGTTAAAAAGATTATAGGCCAAGAGTAGGTAGGCTTTATTTCAGAGAATCAAGGATGGTTGACTATATGCAAATCAATGATAGAAAGGTAAAAATTGTATGATTATATCAATTGATGCAGGAAAGATATTCAATAAAATACAACATCCCTTGATGATTAAGACTCTCAACAAAATTGGCATAGGAGGGACATTCCCCAACACAATAAAAGCCATCTCTGACAACCCATAGCTAACATCAATCTAAATGGGGAAAAACTGAAGTCTTTTCCACTAAAAAAGGGAACAGGACAAAGCTGATCACTTTCTACATCAGCCAAGAATCAAATAAAAGGCATTCAAATAGAAACAAAAAAAAGGTGATATTATCTCTATTTGCATATGATATGATTATATAAATTAAATAAACAATTCAAAAAATTTCACAAAAAATGTCCTCCTGGAAATAACAAATGAATAAAATAACAAGATACAAAACCAACACAAAAAAATTGATAGCATTTGTATATACTAACAATGATAAAACTACAACAGAATTGAAGAAAGCAATACCATTTATTCTAGGGGTACAAACAAAAAATACTGAGTAATAAACCTAATAAAAGAAGTCAAAGACTTCTATGTGGAAGACTAGAAAAAGCATGAAAATTATATTTAAAAAGATACAAAAAAAATGGTAAAACATCAAATGTTCCTGGATTGGAAGAATTAATATAATCAAAATGTCAATCTTACTCAAAATGATTTATAAATTCAATGCAATTCCCATCAAGTTATGAGTCATTTCACACAAAAATTTTGAAAATTATAAAATTTGTCTGGAATTATAAAAGGCCCCATATTGCCAAAGCAATACTGTACAAGGGGAATAAAGTAGGAGTCATCTTCCTTCAGGACCTCAAAATATATTACAAAGCTGTGATAATCAAAACATACAGGTAGACCAATCAAACAGAATTGAGAACACCAAAATAAACCCCAATACATGCAGCCAACTGATCCTTGACAAAGGGCATAAGACAATCCAGTGGAAAACAGAAAATCTCTTCAGCAGATGGTTCTAGGAAAAATGGATATCCACCTGAAGAAAAATAAAATAGGACCCCTATTTCTCACCAATAACAAAAAACTAAAAATGGATTAAAGATCTAAACATAAAACCTCAAACTATAAAACTACTGGAAGGAAACATAGGGTAAACCCTTGGAGACATTGCAATTGTCAAAATCTTCTTAAAGAAAATCCCCAAAGCACAGGCAATAGTCCCAAAAAATACAAGTGGTACTACATTGGACTAAAAAGCTTCTGCACAGCAAAAGAAACAATAATTAAATTGAGGAAACAACCTTTGGAGTGTGAGGATATATTTTCAAATCATGCCTCAGATAAGGGATGTACAACCAGAATATACAAGAAATAACTGAAGCAGCTTACCTCCAAAAAAATAATAGTAATCAATCCAATTAAAAGATGGGCAAATGAACTGCGCAGACAACCACCCAAAGAAGATATATGAATGGCCAAAAAAACATATGAAACCATGCTCAACACCTCTTCTCACAAGGGAAATGCAAATCAAAACCACTTAACTCCAGTCAGAATGACTAAAATTTTAATAATAAGTAATAAGTGCTGGTGAGGCTGTGGTAAAAAGAGGGCCCTCCTGCTCTGTTGGTAAGAATGTAAATTAGTACAACCACTGTGAAAAATGGTATGGAAGTTGCTCAGAAATATACAAATAAAACTGCCATATGACCCAGTAATTCCAGTCTTAGGTATCTATGCAGAAAATAGGAAAATCCTCAGTAGGAAGGAAAACTTAAGACATTCATGATTATTGCAGCATTACTGACAATTTCTTTTACATGGAATCAATCCAAATGTCCAAAAACAGATGAGCAGTTTTAAAAATGTAGGCATATACTCTAGAATACTTCTCAGTCATTAAATAAAATTATAATAAATACATAATTTGTAAAAATCACGAATATAAAATACATCATTAATGAATTACATTAATGAATCTTTGTTATATATGCATTACAGTGCTGTGAGTAAAGAACAAGAAATCACAGAGTTTATATTCCAGGAAGAATAGAAAATTTATTAATAGCACAATTATATAGTTCATACTTTTACACCAATTTTTACTTTCTATTTATAAATAAAAACTTGGAGGAAGTCATTATGAACAATAATAGAGTAACTGAAGTAAATTAGATAAAACTAAATGATGGAATTTTATTAAAAAAATACAGAGACATTGAAAAATGCTTACTAAATAAATATGGTATCAGACTTCAGGAAATGTCTGTGTCTTTAGAAGAAAGTCTCTAATGTCAAATAACTATCTTCCTGGTGGTTTAACTTATTTACTTCCTAATAAGACTTTTCTCCACAGCTTCTTCATAGCATTTGTCATCTCTGAATTTCTCAGTGTGTAGATTAAGGGGTTCAGCATTGGAGTAATGACTGTATAAAACACACTCAATGATTTGTCAATAGGGAAGGTCTTAGTAGGTCTTGCATACATGAAAATACAGGGAACAAAGAAGAAGGTAACCACAGTGATATGTGAACCACAGGTCGAGAGGACTTTTCGCCTCCCTTCCTGACTAAGGTTCTTTAGAGAATGCAAGATAACACCGTAAGAGATGAGTAAGACCAGAAATACAATCGTACAAATCAATCCTCCATTAGCCACCACTAAGAGGCCAATGACGTAGGTGTCAGTACAGACGAGTTCCAATAAGGGATACATGTCACATGCAAAATGATCGATGATATTAGGGCCACAAAATGGGAGCCCATAAATAGTGCTAAGTTGAACTACTGAGTGCAGAAGTCCTCCAACTAAGGACAACATCAGCAACACAACACACACCCATTGCCTCATGATAACCAAATAGTGTAATGGTTTACAGATGGCCACATAGCGGTCATAGGCCATCACCAGCAGAAGAAAGACTTCTGACCCACCAAAAAAGTGCTCTGTAAAGAGTTGAGTCATACAAGATTGAAAAGATATGGTGTGTTTCCCAAAGAACAAGTCTGAAATCAATTTGGGAGAAATGGATGAAGAATAAATGACATCCATGAATGATAAGCTAGCAAGGAAGAAGTACATTGGTGAATCCAGGGCCTTACTGACAGTAACAGTCACAACAATGAGCAGGTTGCCCACCAACGTCAAAATGTAGAAAAGAAGGAATATCACAAAAAGCACTTTCTGTTCCTCTGGATTCTGTGTGAGGCCTAAGAGGACAAAGAATGTCACATTGTTCCTTGGTTCCATCTATCATTTTATTGGTGATAAGTTCAGAACTAAAAGCAAATTACCTATAAAATAAGAAGAATTAGAAGTATTAAAATCTTATTTTTTAAAATTCATCTACCCAAAAGAAGCATATGGAGCATCTATTTATGTCAAGGTATTTGCCATAAATATCAAGATTACCAAGTTAATTAGGCATGGTTCCCTACCCTAAGTGATAGTCATACATAATACTGGGATCAGACAAATACAGATCAAAGTAATAAATGTCATTGTAAAGACATTTATGATGTACCATAGAGTCCTAGTGCTGGAACTTCTAAGTTAGACAGCTAGGAGGGCTTCTAAGAGGAAGCAATACTTTAAAGGAGAAGTTAAAGAATGCAGAAGGATGGTAAAAGAATTCCATAAAGGGTACACCTAATGACCCTCCCTTTAAAATTTATAAATTTGATTGTTTTCACTATACCCTATTAATCCTTGGTTTACTATCATAGCCTACCACTAGGTCTGCCTACTTTCATTTTGCATTCATTACAATCTTTTTACTTGAAGCAATCTGACACTTTTAAAACTATTATTTAGATCATATCATTCCTTTGCTCATAACTCCTATAGGATATTCTTATTACATTCTCAATAAAATCCAGTCTCCCTGCTTTGGCCAACAATATCCCAGATATTGTTGGGACGAAGCCAACCTGCCCAAATTATTCTCTTACATACCTCCATGTTTATCTGTTCAAGGCTTTCACTACTCCTCAAATATCTCCTTAGTTCAATCTATTCTTTTTTTTTTGGGGGGGGGAGAGATTTTCACTGTAGGGCGCGTGCGCTCGCCAGACAGACAGAGAGAGACATAGAGACAGAAAGCGAGAAATCACCCCCCAGGGGGGATGGTCACGCCGCAATCCCTTCTCCTCCATTCTCCTCTCGGGATCTTGGGCACGCACGCACACGCGCCCGGCGTGAGTTTTAAGCCACCGGGTCCGGGACACGAACCGCGGTCAACTACGTGGGAGTCCAGCGACATAGCCATTACGCTAACTGCTGGTTCCCAATCTATTCTTTTTATAAATGTTAATTTTAGATATCAGAAGCATTCTAACTCTAAATTAATTTATTAAATGTCATGGAAAGGTGTATTGTAACTTCAATCTTTTATTTATTCATGTAATCAAAAAGTGTTTATAGAACACCTACATTCTGTCATGTTGATCAAATAAAGTAGACTCCCAGACGTAACAGAATAACCTGACTCCTTAGGTTTGATTCAACACCAGGGTTATGTCATCAGAAGACAGAAAACTTGATGCTGACTGAGGAATCACTTTTTCACCTAGTTCCCTGCTTTTTTAGATGAAAGAAAAATCTCAAAAACATAACATGGTTGCTCATTTAATTTTTAAAATATATTCATGATAAGTACTATATAAAATCTAACTAGTAACTATATACCAGAAGTTTTTTCAACATTTCAATTTTTATAAATGCAATATAATTTTCTATCTAACAAGAAATTCAAACAATTGCAAAGCCTGGTCCTATTACCAAATGTTATAGTTCTTACCTTTTGGAAGCATCTTTACAATTTGAAGACTTTTTACATTACTCATGAAGAGCTGGAAATTCCATTTTCATCTTGTATGCATATAGAAAACAAAAAGTTTTATTATTCCTTGATGATATATTTGAAATCATAAGGCTATTTGTCTTTTGATTTTATCCAAAATCTTTTAAGTTTTTCAGAAGATTAATACGCGTTAGGAATCTATTTCGAATAAATTTTCTGGTACAAACAGAAAAATTAAATTGAAAAATATTAAAACTAGTGTAATTTATTAAAAATGCAAATAAATTTTATTATATAAGAATATAGCAATTAACTTTTTAATAAGGACTTCTTTTCTGCTAATTTCTTTTCTAGTATCTTCAGTAAAAAATAACTTCTGTTCAGATGCTTAACCCATATCACTCTCTTACATTGGTATAGCCAAGTACTCATGTGGAATTTGAAGAAGTCATTCTTGTGCCTTTTTTATAACCTTTAAAACTAATACAGTATCTTCTGAAATAATTATATTAGCTCCTGAGTGGATAACATCTTCTACCCAATGGGAGCAAATGTCCTGGAAAATTTTATACCCAGAAGCACATTAATCATGGAGTCCTGGAATCAGAGCCTTTACAAACCTAATTCTTGCTTAATTAAATTCACCAGAATTTTCCACCTTTTTTAAAAAAGAACATCTATTTCTAAAAATATTGTTAGATAAATCACATAACTATGGTCAGGAAGATACAATGAAGAAAATAAATAGCTTCTGCAATGTTATGGAATGATTATCAGGTATAAGTAAAATATCAGCTCAACTGTTTTATCCCAATGAAGATGATTTTTATCACTGTTTCCCTGCTTTTCCATAGTAAAATTTTTCCTATCATCTAATCCTCAATTTTTTTTTTTTGCCTATTTGTAAGGGGTTAGATATGTTTTAAATGTACTTAGTTATAATAACTAATTATTTATCTGTTTACTCACGTAAAAAAAGTTATGAGCGCTTATTTTGTGTCAGGTTCTAACTTATAAGTTTGGAATAGAATAGCTAATAATTATAAAAAATTTTGGGATAATAGTCCTATCTATATTGACTTTATTTTGCAATAGGATCAATAAATAAAAATGAGAACAATTCATGAAATTAATTATAGTCTGTGATCAGTGTTAATAAAAAATCAACAGGGTATTGTAACAGAAAGTAAGCATGAGATACTACTACAAATGAAGTAATCAGAAAAAGTCTAAAATCCAAAGGATGAGGAGTTGCTCCCACAGGAAGCCCTGTTACATGAGGAAACCTTCAACACTGGAAAGGCTTGGACAAGTTCAAAACAATGAAACATTATATTGAAAGGAAATGGGAAAGGAGAAAATAGAACAAACTGAGGTCAAATAAAAAGACAGGAACCATCCCTGAACAGCAATACAGATTTTGGTGAGGAATTTAGTTTTCATTTAAAATTCTTTACAAATAACAATAAGGTGTGTTAAAGTAAATTAAAATGCAGACCTGGCCTAAGCAGACAAAAGCAGTTAGCTCTCATAACTGACCTCAATCTTGCTTAATTTGCAAAACATGTAAAATTTAATGAGTCATTTCTGACAAACGTTTATATTAGATAAAATAAAATTTAACACCAGCCAATCATAACCACTCAATGACTATATGATGATGTAACTAAGGACTTTCCAATGGAGTACCTAAAAATGGCAATTCTATCATTGAAAATCAATCAAATAATTTATTTTGTTTCCATATTTTCCCAGTTAATATGTGTCTCTGACATTTTATCATTGTAGCACTGAACCTCTTCTGGTCTGGTGGTCTCCACATCATAAATTGCTCCTTATTCAATTAAACTCTAAAATGTAATATGCCTCAGATTTTTCTTTTAACAGGAAGATTGCCAGTTACCAAGTCAACATTTGAAGAACTTTGAAGTCAGTATTCTGTCCTAACAACAAGCAGAATCCTAAACAAACTAAAATATCAACCATTCTCAGATTCCTTATAGATGTTAGGTCATAAGGCAAACCACTGCCTTCAAAATTGCAAAGATAAACAAGCAGATACAAAGAACCACACCTTACATGAGCAGAAATCCACAGACTTCCACAAGAACTAGTGCCAAGAAGAGTGGAGTGGGTAAGACAATCTGAACTTAATTGATGAATTACTCAATGTGCACAAGTCTGAAAGACAAAATAACAGCAGGGGAACCAGTATTGGGGATTCCCCCATAAGTTTGGGAGTTTTAATTCCATGACCTAAGCCGGTCCCTCACAGAAAAATCCTCTCAATCAGTGGAAAGGGAAAAAGAATCATTTTTAAATATCCAGAAAGTGCCACACTTTTTCAATCCATTCATGTGTTTGTTGGCATTTGGTTTGGCTCAATGTCTTAGCAATTGTGAATAATGCTGCATCGATGTGGGGACCAGCAGATGGCATAATGGCTACATCACTGGACTCCCATTTAGCTGACTGCAGTTCGAGTCCTGAACCCGGTGGCTTAAAATCACGACGGGCGCGTGTGTGTGTGTGCCCAAGATCCCAAGAAGTAAACAGAGAAGGGATTGCAGTGTAGCCATCTCCCCCAGGGGGTGATTTCTTGCTTTCTGTGTTTCTATCTCTCTGTCTTTCTGGCACGCACACACACTCTATAGCAAAAATCTCTAAAAAAAATTTTTTTTTTAATTTAAAAACCATCAATGTGTCTGATGAGAGGTCTGCTCTTAGCCTGATGGGATATCCTTTGTAGGTAACTTGCTGTTTCTCTCTTGCCAATCTTAGTATCTTGTCTTTGTAATTATAGCTATAATGTGTCTTGAAGAAGATCTTGGGTTGATTCTATTTGGGGTCCTTTGTATTTCTTGGGACTAGATCTTTGAGTGCCCCTCTAGGTTTGGAAAGTTTTCTTGCAGGATTTCATGAAATAGATTATCAATGTCCTTATGAATCTCTTCACCTTCTGAGATGCCAGTTATCCAGACATTTGGATATTTGATGGTATCTAGTACTTCTTGTATATTATTCTCAAATTTGGGGACAATTTTCTCAGTCTTCATGGTAGATTTTCCTAGGCCAGCAATTTTCTCTTCTACATCTGAGATTCTATTTTCTGTATGATGTAGTCTCCTTTTAATACTTTCAAGGGAGATTTTGACTTCCTGTATTATAGCCTTCCCTTTTAATAGTTCCACTTGATTCTTTTGAAACAATGCACGCGAGGAAAGAATGGGAAAATATATTCAAAATGTTAAGGGAAAAGCAATTTCAACCAAGAGTACTGTACCC